CATTCATTATTTGAGTATAGAAATGCTACTGGTTCTCAAGAGTTGACTTTGTATCCTGCTACACTACTGAATTTGGTTATTAAAGCTACAAGTCTCTTGGTGCAATTTTTGGGATCTTCTGTGTAGAGTATCATGTTATCTGCAAATAATTATAATTTCACTTCTTCCTTTCCAATCATTAGTCCTTTTATTTTTTTTCTCTTGTCTAATTGCTCTGGTTAATGTTTCTAGAACCATACTGAACAGGAGTGGTGACAGTGGACCTCCTTGTCTTGTTCCTGATTTTAAACTGAAGACTTTCAATTTTTGTCCATTTGGTATGATGTTGGCTGTTGGTTTCTCATAGATAGTTTTATCAGGTTGTGGTAAAAACCATCTATTCCAATTATGTCTAGGATTATTATCATGAATGAACTTTGTCAAAAACTTTTCCTGCAGCTATTGAGATGATCATGTGATTTTGTCTTTGTCTCTGTAGATGGGGTGTATTGCATTTATGATTTGTGTATATTGAACCATCCCTGCATTCTTGGGATGAATCCCACTTGGCCATGAAGTATAATCTTCTTGATGATTTTCTGTATTCTGTTTGCTAGGTTATTTTGGGGGTTTGGGGGGTTGTTTTGTTTTTGTTGTTGTTTGGGGGTTTTTGTATTTTAGGGAAGGGTTTACAGGGTGTTCAGGGTCTCACTACTAGATCAGACTCATAGTGATCCACCTGTTTACAGCCTCCCAAGAGCTGAAATTACAGGCATGTGCCACCACATCCAGTCTCAATGGCCATCTCAGCATGCCTCGGGGGCAGGGGTGGCACAGCAGGCCTGGGGATCAAACCCCCAACCCCTGCACCTGCTTGCAGATGCTTTAATCCACTGAGCTATTTGGCCGGCCTGTATTTGCTAGTATTTTATCAAGTCTTTTGCATCTATGTTTATTAGAGAGATTGGCTTGTAGTTTTCTGTTTTGGTTGGATCTTTCTCTGGTTTTGGAATCAGAGTAATACTTGCCTCCAGGAATGAGATTGGGAGAATTGCTTCCCTTTCAATTTCATTGAAGAGTTTGAGAAGAGTTGACATTAGATCTTATCTAAATTTCTTGTAGAATTCAGCTGTGAATACATCAGGACCTAGGCTCTTCATTGTTGGTAGGATTTTATTACATTTTCAATTTTGTCTACTAGGGTTATTCAGAATTTTAGTATCTTCTTGATTCAGGTTTGATAGTTATATGTATCTAGGACACTGTCTATTTCTTGTGTTTTCCATGTTATGAGAGTGAAGATTTTGGAAATAAGTATTGATGATCTTCTGAATATCTATAGGGTCTAATTTTACTCTTTTCATTCCTTACTACATGAATTTGAATTTTTATTTCCTTTTTTTGGATAAGGTTGGCTAGGGGTTTATTGATTTTATTTATTCTTTCAAAGAACCCACTCTTCCATTCATTAATTCTTTGTATTTTTTTCTTTATCTCCATTGCATTTATTTCTGCTCTAATCTTTATAATTTCCTACTTTCTTTTTTGGTTTGACTTGCTCTTCTTTTTCTAGGAGCTTGAGGTGCAGCATAAGATTGTTTACTTGGGTTTGTTCAGTTTTCTTGATGTGAGTATTTATTGCTATAAATTTCCCTCTTAAGACAACTTTAATTGCATCTCACAGGTTCCAGGAAGTTATGTCTGTATTTTCATTTGATTTTAAATATTGTTTGATTTCTTCTTTTATTTCATCTGTGACCCATTGTTGTTCAGGAGGGTGTTATTTAAATTCCATGTGTTTATGGAATTTTTGTTTTTTCTTTTGTCAATAATTTTCAGTTTCATTGCGCTACGGTCAGATAATATGCATAGGATAATTTCAATATCTTTGCACTTACTTAAACATGCTCTATGTGCTATTATATGGTCTATTTGTGCAGCTGAGAAGAATGTGTATGCTGATACTGTTGAATAGAACACTCTGTAAAGGTCTACTAAGCCCATTTCTTCACAATTTTAGTTTAGTTGTATTATTTCTTTGTTGATATTTTTGCTTATTGATCTATCTCTTTGTGTCAATAGGGTGTTAAAGCCCCTCAGTACAGCTGTGTTATTGCCCATTTGATTTTTTTGTGTCTGTTAAATTTTGTCTTATATATTTGGGTGCTCCTACATTGGGTGCATATATATTTATAATTGCTATCTCTCTCCCTTGCAATTTTCTTCTACCAAGTATGTAGTGATGACCTTCTTTATCTCTTTTAATAACTCTTGCTTTGAGGTTGACACTGTCAGCAACCAGAATACCTACTCCTGCTTGTTTCTAGATTCCTGACACATGGAATATTGTTTTCCATCCTTTGACTTCCAGGCTATTACTTTCTTTTTAATTGAATATGTTTCTTATATATAGTATATGGTTAGATTTTGTTTCTTGATCCACTCTGCCAGTGATTCGTGAATTGAGGCCATTTACATTGACCATTATAACTGATATGTATTGGTTTGTCTTTGTCATGTTATTTTCCTACCTTAGCTTCCCTACTTTTCTGTTTAATTGCTTGCTCTGCTTGGTGGTTCTTTTCTGTTGTTCTTGAAGTTGTGGTCATTTTTGTCTCTTTTGAGAATATCTGTCAGTACTCTTTTACAGTTGGTTTGGTGGTCATGAATTTCTTCAGTTGTTTTTTTGTCATGGAAGGTTCTTATCTCTCCACTAAATTTGATGATAGTTTTGCAGGGTACATCAATCTGGGTTAGAAACTATTTTCTTTCAGGACCTGAAACACTTCACTCCAAACTCTTCTTGATTATATGGTTTGTATGGAGAAATCTGCCATGATTCTGATGGGCTTTCCACTGTAGGTGATCTGTTTCTTTTCTCTAACAGCTTTTAGTACTCTGTTCTTTTGCTTAATTTCTGGGGTCTTGATTATGATGTGTCTGAGCATAGATTTATTTTGGTTATGGATGGAGTTCCAAATGCCTCACTTATTTGTATGTCAGATTCTTTTTCCATGTTTGAGACATTTTCTGCTACTACTTCTGCAAAGTCTTTTTTATGTCATTTTTTGTTGTCTCCAGCTGTTTGATCGATAACTATTAATCTTATATTGTTTTGCTTTTTGCATCACCTTGCAGCTGCTGCATTGTCACCTCCTGGTTCCTTGCTGTTTTTAAGAGATCTTTCCCTTATGTTCACTAGCTGCAATGCTATCTTCAAGGTCTGAAATTCTACCTTTAGTTTTGTTCAAGTGGTTTTACCAGCTTTCAAAGTCATTCTTAATGTCCTGGGTATCTGCTTGAATCTGTTTCATACATTCTAGCTCTTTCCTGAATGTTCATTCAATATTTCCTCATTTTCCTATCCCCTTCTATTTTTTAATCTATATCTTCTTTAGATGTGCTGAGCAATTCTTTCATGATTGTTGTCATTTTTTTTTACCTGAGAGATTATTTCTGATCCAATTTCTTCTATGGCCTGATAGAGTTTTCTCTTTACTTGTTGCTATCATTTCAGAAATTTCAGGTGTGTGACTTCCAAGTTCCGCTATGACTTTGTCTCCTGGATTTGTTCTTGATGGGCTGGAGGTCTGAAATTGCCTTTTTCTCCTTCAGGTTGGCATTTTTAAGTTCCCAGTGTTCACCCCGACTCAGCAGCAGCAGTAGAGGGGCAGGGTACAGGTCAGCAAGGCTCTCACGGTAGTCGGGGGGGCTCACCAAAGCTCCCGCTGTGCGTGGTTCAGCGTGGCTTCCACCTTGGGGGGCGGGGCACAGCTCAAGAAGGATCCAGTGAGATGAGGGCAGGCCAGAGCTTTGCAAGGACCTCAAAAGGGTGCAGGGTGGGTCTCACCAAGGCTCCCACTATGGTGGGACAAGCATAAGAAGCTCAGCAGAGATACAATGACAGCAACAGCGGGGCAGGTGGCCACAGCTCAGCCAAGCTCCAGTGACGGTGAGGGGAGGCGGAGGGGCAGGGCTCACCAGGCCCCCGGAGCTGTCCTGGGACCACTGATTTCTTTGATGGAGGGAGAAGTAGCTGCAGCTCAGCCGAGCTCTGGCGAGGCGAGGGAGGGCAGGGCAGAGCTCCCCAGGTCGACGTAGCTGTCCTCTGTCTGCCTGACTTCTAGGATGGTGGGAGAAGTGGCTGCAGCCTCGCCAAGCTCCCAGCCCTTACAGTATTAAGCAGCCTGACATCATTATGCTATGTGGTGGCTTTTCTGAGCCATTGCTTCTCAAGCTTCCTATGCACATAAATCACCTACATGACTGTTAAAATGCAAATTTTGAACTACTCAGTAGGTGTGGATTGCAGCCTGAGAGTGTATTTCTCACCAGTTTCCAGGCAAGATTGAAGAGCTGGTCCTTGGGCCACACTTTGTCTAACGGAGGATTTTTTTCCTCTTTAATCACAAACCAGCTCCACTAGTTAAGAATCACAATAGGACAAATCAAGAACACCAGCTCAGTCTCCTCAGTAGGATCATTCCGTACTATGGAGGCAAACCGAATCCTCCTATAGCTTACCCAGCTATCTTGGTCTCACACACACACACACACACACACACACACACACACACACACACCATGGAGGGAAATACAATGAGAAAAGGCAAAGATCCCCACGCGCCCGAAGGCCAGCATCTGATACCCGGGCTACTGCAGAGCAGCCCAGCCCCGAGCGGCACCGGGGTCCTCAGCTTCCCTGGCTGCGCTCTGCAGCCCCAGCACCTGGTGAGCCTGACTCGCTGCACATGGGGTTTAGAATTGCTTCAGACAAAGTCACACCAAAGCAGGACCACAAAGTCATCTCCTCCTTCACATTGACTGTGTGACCCGAAGCGGGTGCCCACTGAGCTGTCCTGAGGACTCAGAAGCCAGCTGTTGGCTCCTCTAGAATCACTAGACTAGTGGTGTCTGCAGTGACAGCAAGTGGCAGCATGGGAACCCGCGTCGCGCAGCCTCTGACAGGTACGAAGGCCTGAGCCAGAGCCCTGCCCCTCCCCTCTCACATCTCTGCACAGGGTGAGCAGGTGGACAGTGCCAGGGGCTCTCCCACCACAGCACAGCCAGAGCACAGCCTCCGGGAAGCCCTGCTGCGTGCTGCCCATTGGCCGTGGCGCAAAGAACTTGACCCTGTCCTCCGGGCCCTGATCTAGCACGTCTGGCAGAAAGGGGCGCCAGGCAGATTCTTCGTGGTGAGCGCTCTCCCTGTCAGGCTGCATCACGCGGCAGAGCACATGCGCAACGCGCCCTGGCACTGCTGAGCGCTGCGCGACCTCTGCGTCACTGGAAAACTAACGATTTTAAGGAATCCTACAGGCTTTAGCCGTGTCTCTGCCAATTGAAAGGAGATGCTTGACTTCTTTTTCTTGATCCATAAAATGAAGGAGTTCAACTAGGTGGCCTCACCCGCTCTGTACTCATATAGCATATAGCTCCACAACCTGAGAGAAAATGCAGACATGGCACTACGTGCCCAGCCAGAAGTCACGGTCACAATTGCTCCCCTTGGTGACAAACGGGGTGCTCTGAAAGGCACTTTTTTCCTTGGTTAGTGAGCTCTCTACCAAGTTTAGTCCACATGGGAGACTTTGTTGCCTGCTTCTGCCTGATTAGATGAGGTGAGGCCCTAATTTCTTCAAAGCTCTGTTTCTGAAACTAAAGCTTCCTTTTTGAAGATTAAGGCAGAGATTTTTTTTTTCTTTTTCTTTTCTTTTCTTTTTTTTCTTTTTTTTTTTTCTATTGGAAATTAAACCAAGGTGCTTCACACATCTCCCCCCACCCGCCTTGAGACAGAGTCTCCCTAAGTCACTGAGTTGCTCTAGGTGGCCAGGCTGAACTTAAATTTGATATTTCTTGCTCAGCCTCCCAAATATAGGAGGCACTACTACATATGGGCTATTTTGTCTTTATATCTCCAGTACGTAGCATGGTAAGGAGATGCTTGACTTCTTTTTCTTGATCCATAAAATGAAGGAGTTCAACTAGGTGGGCTCAAACTGTCCGTACTCGGATAGCATACAGCTAGGACAATAAGTACAATACAGTAGTATTAGGACAATAAGAGACTTAGTGAATAAATTTTGAATAAGTAAATTAAGAAATGAAGTTAAAACTGGTCAGTTTTAACCTTTAAGTCTGTCACTGTTCACTGCATCGTAGAATACTACATCATTCCTTCTAGAGCTATAAAAATAAGAACATTTCTGAACTCTGCCTTTTTGACAACAGCGATGTTTACGTCATTAAGGATTAACAGATGGAAGGATGGGTACATCCTGCTCTGAAGCCTGAGACACATGCCTGTCATTCTCTAAAGAACTCAAAGTACCAAGAAATTACTTTGCTGAAATGACATTTTCTGGAAATGTGTTTCTCTAGCCCATCTGCAGAACAGCCCTAAAATGCAGGCTCTCACGTCACAGCGATGAGCCCTGTTGTTCATTCCCATCTGCAACACTGTTGACTACATCTACTTGGGGACACAACTGGGGACAGCGAGAAACAGACCAAATCGTGGGAGCATGCTTGCAAGCCACTCCAGATCCTGCCGACCAATCTGTTGCTTGCACATAGCCAAGTTCACACAAGGGCTCCAGGCAGCACCCCATTAGGGGCCATGGGCACCAAGTCCATGAACAAAACACAAGACCACTGTGAGCAGGTGAAGGAATAGGGTCTTACAGCATGCGGCCTTGAGAAACTGCCTCACTGCATCTCTGCTACTTCCTTCTTTTCATGAAATGTTCAAGTGCTGTGCACAGAATGGAATTCATTGCCCGCCACTCCCCAGTGTGACAGCAGCCCCTACTGCTGTGAGCTGTGAGCTGTGTGCTGATTCACTTGGTTCTGCTGCCATGTCTCTCCCTCTGGACAACTGATGAATCTTGCTTCTCTTATTCACTGGCTTCATTTGCATAGAGCCCATTCCCTGCAAGTTAGCGTTTCTTGCTAGGATACTTTGCTTACCAACCAGTGACAAAGTAGTGCACTCTGCCAAGGAATAAGCATGAAGGCAGGCACAGGGGAGAGAACTAGTCTGGATCTTCTCGGAAGGGCTCACTAATGCATTAAGGACCTCTGGAGCCTGCCCAGGAGCTCAGGGGCGTGGAGGCTGAGCCTGTGTCATATCCGCACCCATGTGGATGGGGCTGTCCTAGAAGCAGACAAGCCGGGGGAATGCTTGGAACCAGAGACCTGTCCTGGAAAGAGCCTGTGCTTTGGGAACAGATCAGTGCTCAATGTGACGGTTGACCTAGAAATTCTACTCTTGGACCCCACTCTACAAGTACACAGAGAATATTCAGGGAGGCTCCTTACAGGATTTTGTGACAGCAAGAACTAGAACCAGCCTGAGTGTCCCTCAGCAGATGATGTAGTTGAACTGAATAAAACTTAGCACACTTACTCAGTTGGCTACTACAGCAGATACTTCTAGATGACTAGATACTTCTAGTCATGCGACAATAAGAATAGCCCCAATCTGTATTGCAAAGTGGAAGAAGCAAAGTATATATTTGTGTATACACACCAAATATATTAGAGCAAGTTTGTGTATGTGTCAGTCTGTGCTTACTACAGCACTAGATTTAACACAAAATGGGTATTCCAACCTGTTATGTTGGGAAGAATTTGCTTCCAAACTGCTGGCAAGATTGAGATAACGGCCCAACTACACAGGCTTCTTGCAAAAGTTGTTTTTTGTCTTTTTGCCAAGGGTCTCACTGTGAAGCTCAGGCCAGATAACACGTGAAAGGTCCACTCGATCGGCAACTGTTTTCCCCTTTCTCATGACCAATGACAATATAAGTCTTGGAGGGTGGGTACTCTCCCTGAAGCTCATGAGACGAATCGCCTGTGCCTGTCTGATGCTCGCCCAGGAGCACATGCTGGGCCTGGAGGAGCCAGGACAAGCATGTGCCTTCCTGGCCTGGCCCTGCACACAGAGCTCCGTGACCTGAGAGAGGACCGGCGTGCCCTGGCCCTGCGGGCTTCCTCCTGGCAGAGACAGACAGAAAGCACCGGATCCTTCCAAGCAGGGCCACACTACGTCAGCTCTTGCAGGAAGGGCCCAGCAGATCACTAGCAAAGTCTGCTGCAGCAGAATTTGTCACCTCCGTAGCAGCTCCTAGAGCCCCTGCCCTCTTGGGCAGTCTCTCCTCTGGAGGAAGCAGAACAGTCCTCAGGGATGACATGTGATCATAAAGTCATCTCACTTCCTGGGCTGCCAGCCTCAGGAAATGTCATGGGGCCACGGGAGATGCAGCCTCCAGCTTCTTGGGCTTTTCCATGTAACAGCTGTAGGTGCCCTGTCCGCACCCATGGTTCAAGCAGAATTCTGTCCTCTGAGGGTCTCTGGGGCCCAGTGCCCCAGGGTCTAGGAACAACAGAGGTGGATGAGCAAGCAGAGTGGAGCAAAGCCTGTGGGGCCTGAGCGGCCTTGTGTGACTGAGGCCTGTGGGAGGGACAGCACAGCAGGGCTCTCCTGCTCCTCTAGAAGAGACCTTGAGGACAGTCACCACTGCAGGGGCTCACAGGACGCTAACACTGAGCTCCCTGCAGAAGAGGGAGCTGCCAGCCATGCCTGGGCACCCTCCTGTTAGGGGACTCTGTCCCTGGAATTCTGGCCTAAGAGGTGGGCCAGGCAGAAAAGCAGACTGTGAGAAGGCCATGGCTGACTCTATGATGGGTGCAGAGACACAGGCAGATGAGGCAGGGCTCTGTGAGGTGGGCAACGACTGGAGCTCGCCGGGTGTGGGCAAGGGCACTGGCTGCATCACCGTGGTGAGAAGACGCTGGGCAGGCCAGATGGGCCTGAAGAGCTGCGGCTCCACCCTGAAGGCAGCTGGTGTTGCTACTCTAACTAGAGAAGGGGCCCTTGGTGTCAAGTAAGTTCCCAGTCACTGGCAGATGAATGAATTCGAGAAAAATAAGTTTGAGTCCTAGTCAATCTTCAGTTACAACACTCCTACTAAATTTGAGCAAGTCCAGACTATTTTAATTGTATTAATAAAAAGTTCTTTTTCACTGAATGCGTGTTATAAGCACTATCTCACTATCGCTGTCATTTGGCTGGACATTGGAGCTACCAAGGGAATGAATGTTGACGTCAGGCCCTCCCCCAGGGTTCTGACTTCCCTGAGCCAGGTGTTCCGCCCCTGGGCATCGTGAGAGTCCTGCAGCTGTTCTAACAGGCAGCCAGGTCTGAGCTTCCTGCCCACTGGCTGGGTCTCCACAGGAACAGGTAGGCGTCGTCCTGAGCCCTGCTGCGGCAACTGAGGACGGGAATCCTGAAGGACGCGCTGATTTCCACAAGATCACACAGTTCATGGGGAGCAGACCTGAGTGCAAAACTGGCGTGGGTTTTGCGAGAAACACGGGGACAGCCAGCAACTTGGTGCACCCTGTGCTTCTCCTGCAGCTCTGAATGCCTCCAACACAGGATTTCTCTTCAGATGAATCTTGGGATACTGAGCAATCTGTGCTTGCGACAGAGAGTTTGAGGAAATGCTCACGAGTTGAAGCAGCAACGCGATCGGAGCTCGCTCACGATCTGAGCGCCGGGCACACCTCCCACAGCGAGCGGCGCTGCGCGGCTCTGGCTTCTCCAAGTTAGAGGCACAAAATCCCTGCTTCTAGGCCTGGAAAACGGAGCACAAATAAAGGCCGAGGGAGATGGAGATGCTTCCACCGAGGAAGCGGGAGCACGAGCGCTGAGGAGTGCTTGTCCGCCTGCCAGGAGATGCGGCTGGCTGGCTTTCAGCGGTGCTTTGTCTTCGCCAAAACGACAGAGCATATTCTACGAAGAGAAGTGTCTACTAGCAGCTGCAGTGGTGGTTTCCAAGGCAGGGTGGGGCAGGAAAGACGCGTTTTCCTGATTGTTTTTCAAATATATGGAGCTCATGTGGGAAGGAAGGAGGGGGAGAGATCGCCAGTGGTCTCCACGTGAGCAGAGCCTCACACTGCGCCTGATCTCCCTGGGCCGGCTCCTCCAAGGGGCAGCAGGGTGGGGCGGGGCCGCGTCTTTGCAGCTCACTGCCACCACAGATGGGGGGTCAGGGATCAAACTCAGGACCTTGTGCTTGCCAGGCAGGCGCTTACGCCCCTGAGCCATCTCCCCAGCCGGCCTCTTTTTATTTTATGTATCAGTCTTACT